CTCTCTCCTGTTCCCGCTCTCCCTCAGCCCCCGCTGGAGGACCGCGCTCACGTGCCCGCCAGGGGGCGCCGCCGGCGCGGCAGGGGTGGGCCGGGTGCGCGTGCGCGGTGGCGCGCGGCGATGGCGGCGCTGCTGGAGCACGAGAGTCAGATCTTCCTGGACCTGTTCCACCGGGACGGGCTCGTGGTGTGCGCCCGAGGGCTCGGCATCGACCGCCTGCTGCTGCGCTTCCTGCGCCTCTACTGCGAGCCCGCCAGCCTCGTGCTCGTGCTCAACACCGGCCCCGCCGAGGAGGTGAGGGGGCTGTCAGCGCCCGGCGCGGCCCCGCAGTGCCCCGGGCGGGAGCGGCTCCTGGGGCCGGGGGCGGGCCGGGGGTGGCTGTGCGGGATCCGGGGCCGGGCCGGGCGCTGTCACAGAATCACTGAGTGGGTCAGGCTGGAAGGGACCACAGCGGATCATCTGGTCCCACCTCCTATTCCTGCTCCAGCAGGGTTATCCCAGAGCACACAGTACAGGATTGTGTCCAGACAGTTCTGGAGTATCCCCACTGAGGAGACTCCACACCCTCTCTGGGCAATCTGTTCCAGTGCTCGGTCACTGCACAGGGAAGAAGTTCTTCCTCATGTTCAGGTGGAACTTCCTGAGCATCAGTTCCTGCCCATTCCCTCTTGTCCCATTGCTGGGCACCCCCGAGCAGAGCCCGGTCCATCCTCTGCCCCCTCCCTGCAGGTCTGACAGACACTGAGGAGGTCCCCTCAGCTGTCTCTTCTCAGGGCCAGCTCCTCAGCCCGTCCTCAGAGAGTCCCCCCATCCCCTTTGTCACCCTGCGCTGGACCCGCTCCAGGAGCTCCATGTCTCTCTTGTCCTGAGGATCCCAGAACTGGACACAACACTCCAGATGGGCCTCACCAGGGCTGAGTAGAGGGGCAGGATCACCTCCCTCGACCTGCTGGCAATGCTCTTCCTAGTGCACCCCAGGACACTGTTGGCCTTCTTGGCCATGAGGGCACTGCTGGCTCAGGGACAGCTGGTTGTCCCCCAGGACCTTGTGTCCCAGGGAAGCTGTCAGACCAGACACACTTGGGATCCATCAGCTGAATTCCTACTCCTGCAGCACAGTAAAGCCCCCAAAACAATACTGAGCTAAAACAAGTGTATGTACATAATTGTAAGTAACCACTGAGCAGAAAGGGATGAAACTTGCTGAAGGTTTGTCCCTGCTTGTACAAAAAATAGCTGCTCTTTTTTTCCCTGGAACCAGGGTGATTTCCCACCATCAGGGAAGTGAGGTCCTGGGGACTTTTTATAAACTGGCCATAGGGGAATAAATATCACAGCTCTAGTTTATAAGATTAAACTTCATATATAGGGCCTACCTGCTGTAGTTGTCTGATAGCAGGTGAGGGCACCAGAAGATGAACTCTTCCTAATTCTCTGTTCTTAAGGCAGTAGTAAAATTGCATGTTCTCTGAAAATGAGCTATGGAAATACAAGAAAGTGTAAGCTCCTTTGAGTGTCAGTTGTTCATATTTACTTAAGTATTTTCTAGCTACTACTGACAATACATAGACTTTAAATCACCCAGATGAGTTTGAAACTGAACAAAGTATATCAAAGAAGAAAAAAATCATGATAATTGTGACTTAGCATGTTATACCATCATGTTTTAATTTGCTCCTCAAAATTGGCAGGGTATGCATAATAAAGGTGTTTATTGCATCCCTTTCATTAGTTATCACAATTATGTCTTTGTTTTTATTGTATTCGGTTCAGGAGTACTTCATTGACCAGCTGAGGTCAGATGGAGTTGTTCACCTTCCTCGGCGTGTTACCAATGAAATTGCAAATAACACTCGGTACGAATTTTACACACAAGGAGGAGTCATCTTTGCAACAAGTCGGATCCTGGTGGTGGATTTCCTTACTGACAGAATTCCTGCCAACCTCATTACTGGTAAGAGTTTAATGAAATGAAGGTAAAAGTGTTCTGTTTGAACATACATAAAGCTTAATTCTATATGAAGAGTTCTACTAACCACTATTGAAGAACTTTTCCTTTCCTTCCCCCCAGGACTGAGGTAAAAAGAGCAAATATGTAGTTCTTTCATATTTTTAATAGTTTTCTTTGCTCCAAACTTGTTTGTCTTATTTAATCAAACCATTTGAAAACATGCACATTACAGAGCTATTTTTACAGGTTTTGCATTGCCACCAGAGGTCAGTGCCAGAGCAGCTGTGATAGACTGGCTGCTTCATTTCCAGCTTCCCCAACAGCTGGTTCCATGTACCTTACCTGAGACTGTACAGCCAAACCAACACAAACTTGTAATAGTGTTTCTTGAGGAGGTAACACAGAAAAAGTGTTTCTAGGTTTTATAAATGTTGTTTATAAAATCAGTGTAGAATCACATGTGAGTTAACATCTGCTGAACTCATAAAGTCCAGCTAAATGGAGATAAGAAATTATCACTGCAGTAAAGAAGAATTATTCCTGGTAGTTTTAGCCAGGTAAAAATTACGTACTTGACAGCACAGTAAAACTGATGCAAGTGGGTTTAATGAAAAGTGGTAATAAAAGGGCTTACAGAGCAGGTACAAACTCACTCCATAAGCAGATATATATTGAGTGAAAGTTGGAAGGTATTATGATAAACACACAGTCTTACTGGCCCGTCACAAATTGGTTGTCTCCTGTCATGTCCATTCCGAGTCACATCTTGACAAACTGGAAGTTGTTCAGAAATGTGTGTGATCATTGTTATGTCCTGAAAAATTTGCTTCATGGGACAGATCTAACAATGTCTAGATAGAAAAATACCTTGTAGTGGATTATTCCATGACTTAATCATCAATGGCTAGCAGTTATATGGAAGCCTTTTTTTTCTAGATGCCTTCTCATTTACCAAGCAAAGGCATATTAAAATCAATGTCTAGGTGCTGAGTTGAAGAAACTTGTTGCAGAATTAAATGCACCGTAAGTTTATGAGCTCATGCAGGTACAAGGTAAAACCTGTGATGTTTGATGTCCTTTGCTTCCATCTCAGAAAGGCATTTATGATTCCACTGCAAGCAGTGAACAGATAAGAGTTACCACATAGGCCTCACTTCAGCAGGGGAGAGGGAAGAATGCAGTGTGCTATTTAACGTGATTAAGTGGGAGGAAAAAATAAGCCTGGGTTTAACAGGTCTTGGCTGAGTGAACTGTGAATCCCAGAAGTATTTGTCTCGAACACCTAATTAAATTAAATTGTTGTTTCATTTCTCTTTACTAAAATGTGCTTGATAAATCTTTTATTCCTAATAATAGCCCTGAATAAAACTGGGGGTACTCATACAGTTGATAGTATTTGCTGTCCTTAAGTGTGAATATGACTTATCAGAAGGAGGAGAAAAGCAAAACAAATGTTTTCAGATGTTCTTTGAATGTGTAAACACTTGAACTGTTACCAATGAAACATACTTGACAAGACTAATTCCAGAATTTCTCTAACAAAAGAATGCAAATATCACAGACTTGAAAATGTCAAACTTGCTCTATTGTAACAGTGTGTTCTGTCGTGCGTTTGCTTTTCCTCCTTTTCAAAGGCTCAAGTTCAAGTTATGCCTCAGGAGTAAAGAATTTACTAAGCTAATAAGTCCTGCCACTCAAGCACAAGATATTTTATTTTTTTGTTATTAAAGATGCATCATTAACCCAGTTCTGTTATTTGGCATTTCTGTAGTACTGAAACTGAGGAATCACTTGTTTGAACCCCAGAAAGTTTGTTCAACACTCATTTTAGAAGATTTAAATTCCTATAATCCAAGCAATATTAGAAGAATAAGACAGTTATGAGGAAAATTCTATATAAAGTTGGACCTTTCTTAACTTCTTCTAACCTGAAAATGTTTTATTTTGCCAGGCATTTTGGTGTATAAAGCACACAGAATCATCGAGTCCTGCCAGGAAGCATTTATCCTGCGACTGTATCGCCAGAAGAACAAGCAAGGCTTCATTAAAGCTTTTACAGATAATGCTGTTGCATTTAACACTGGCTTTTGCCACGTGGAAAGAGTGATGAAAAACCTTTTTGTCAGTAAGCTTTATCTGTGGCCAAGGTGAGGCACTTCTTTACTCCACTGGAGAGTTAAACTTGAAAGATGAAGGATGTTAGATGGGTTCCTTAGAAAATGAGGTGTATGCAGTCACACTGCCTAGGGGTGTTCCCTCTTATATCCCCAAACAAATTTCAGTCAGGTTTTGACTGGTGGTCTTGAAGATGCTAAATTTCTGTATGTATTTTTGAAAATAGACTCAAATTATCTCTATAAGGGGCTGAACCTTAAGGCAGAGCTGGCCTTTTAGCCAACAGAAATCACAGCAGAAGGTGACACTCCTAATAGCTCATGAAAAACTTCTCTTATGAAACAGAGTATTTAAGCCATGATGTAACAAGAGCACAGTCCCTCAGTTCTCCATTCAAGAAGGTGTATTTGTTTCCAGCTGTGATAAAACTCCATGGATCTTTCTACATGTCAGATTTTTTAAATCTTCTTTTACATGTATGTTGTGTGTGAAGAATATTTCTTGATGACTGATAAAAACCAAATTGCCAGGTTTGTGGCACGTGTTAAGTCATTCAGAAACAGAGCCACAAATGGAACTGGACCCTTTATCTGCTGACCCATTCAGTGCTCTTGCCTTGGGCAGGAGCTCTGCCCATTTGTTCCAGGCTAAGAATGTGTTTCACTCCATCTTAATGAACTGTCACTCTGCCTTGTAAACTCTTTTTTTAACAATCTGTCTTCCAGTATCCCAGGGAAGTAGAAGTGGACATAACTAGGGCAAGAGAGGTCAGATAAAAGCTCTCTACATTTTCTTCCTTGGCTTCTGAGCCATGGCAAGGCCTGGGGGTGCAGTGTGCAGGGAGATGCCCAGGGAGTTCCAGAGGTTGGCAGGCACTGGGCTCTCTGAGCCTCCCTGTTAGGGAAAGGCAGTGACATGTCTGTGCCTGTGCAGCTGAGGGGCTGCAGGGGAGGGTTCCAACAAGGACCTGCTGCTCATCCTTGCAAGCTGGGAATGTCACAGAACCTGCTGGTGCAGTGTCTGATTTCAAAGAATTCATGAGCCTGTTCCTGTTTCCCCCTTATGAGATTTTTTGGGTTTACTTTAGTATTTGTTCTGTGTACTGGTGATGGAGAATCTACTGCAGTAATTTTCCATGGCTCATTCAGCAGCCCTATAGGCTCACATGACTAGCATGCCTACAGTCATCATTGTGGAACAGATGGTTTTCTGAGGCTGTTCATAAGATTGCAGTCTTCACATCAGTAGAATCTGATTGACTTTGGAATTAACTTACTTGTTCACATTTAAAACAATTGTAATTGTAGTTTATACAAACTTTTGAGTAATTGTGGGTCAAGAAAACTTTCCAAGTAAATCCTAATAAGCTGTTTTCCTCTTAGATTTCATATAGCAGTGAACTCATTTTTAGAGAAGCATAAACCTGAAGTGGTGGAAATACATGTGGCAATGACCCCTGCTATGCTTGCTATCCAGACCTCAATCCTGGACATTTTGAATGCCTGTCTGAGAGAACTCAAACGTTATAATCCAGTTCTTGAAGTAGAAGATCTCTCTTTAGAAAATGCTATTGGAAAACCTTTCGACAAGGTAACTATTTGGATTGTTTTGCAGTGTCTGACTAACAGGATGTAGATCTTCAAACTGCCATGCAAACAGAAGTTTTATTTGTAAAATTAATAACCTTCAGCAGCTGAGTGTTCTCCCATGGTATTAGTGGTACCAGGTGATGTAATAGTGATGTGACAGTTGCCAGTAGGGTTTTTGGTGTATAGGTGTTATTGTTCTTCCTTCATTTCCCAAGTCTTACAGCAAGAACATCCCTGTTCAAGCTTTTCTTTCCTATTTGTGGTTTCCATTGCCTCTAGTAGGAGAAGCACAAGTATACAGTAGACAATATGCACATGTATGCCTCTGCTGTATCTTTAATCATTATATATGTCAACAATTGTGTGTTCATTGCTGTTTGTGGCAGATGTGCAATGTCTGGCATACATGTGCTTTCTGTAAGGTGAAATCATAAACTTCAACCATCATAGTGAAACACAGTTATTTCTTAACTACTATTAGATCCTGATGCAAGGCCTTCTGTACTTTAAATATCTGGAGGTTTTTTCCTTAAGCCTTACAGGTTGCACATCTGCATGGTACCAACCTTATTTTGGAAATTAAATGCCATTATAATGGTTTCTGCTTTACAGTGCCAGTAAATTAAGGGGGGGGGAGTATTGTACCAGTGTTTTATTATTAGATGGAAAGGAAAAAGTGTACTGAAAGCATTAATTGATACACATCTGCTAATTGCTGAAATATTTTACATAAAGGCATCTATATTATGTTAACTTTGCTAAAAAATGATAACTTATGTAAAAAAAAATACCTTACCATCAGGTCTTTAATTTGGTATCCTTAATAACTTCAGGAAACTAGTGGCATCCCCTATAAAGGAAAAAAAGTGCATTTTTAGCATGGTTAGTGTACTATATATTTGACATCCTGAACTTTCCAATTTATATTTCTAGACAATACGTCACTATTTAGATCCTCTCTGGCATCAGCTTGGAGCTAAGACGAAATCTTTGGTCCAGGATTTGAAGATACTCCGTACTTTGCTCCTGTATCTCACTCAGTATGATTGTGTCACCTTCCTTAATCTTCTGGAGTCACTGAAAGCAAGTGAAAAAGCTTTTGGTGAGAATTCAGGTAAACACTCAAGATCCATACAAGTCAGTGCATGAAACAGTGAAATGTTGATGTTTTTAATTAGTATTCCCAAACATTTGAAGGTACCTAATCAGGTTTTACATAACCAGCCATAAGGACGTAGGTTTTTATTGACAGATAATGCTTTCATCTTCCCACCTAACTGCTGTTACTTAACAGGGGCAGATTTGCATCACGTTTGTCTCTTATTAAGCTGGTGATTGCACAGCAAGCAGGTAGCACAGGTATTCCAGATGAGAGGTTTGGGGCTGAAACACATCCCTATTGCAGATGTCAAACTAATGCTGCTTCCTTCTCCTCTCCCCTCAGGTTGGCTGTTCCTTGACGCCAGCACCTCGATGTTTGTGAACGCTCGGGCTCGAGTTTATCGCATTGCAGAGGAGAAGCTGAGTCAGAAAGGCAAAGGCTCTGAAAAACGTGATGTGAAGAAGGAAAATGGTACTGATCATTCCTAATTTTAAGTTTGGGAGTGTCACGATTTCAAGTGCTTTGCATGTTATCACTGGGGCTCTGGTTCCCTACGTGAACTTAGCCCAGCTCAGGATCTCCATCTGTTAGCTGGGATAAGCTGAGACATAATCTTAGTTCAAAAAGCATATAATAAACAACATACAAGAGTCATGAAGAAGTAAGGGGTTCTCCTAAGCTTGCTCAGCTGATCACTGGGAGAGCTTTTATGGAATTCTTGTGTTGCACTGGTGTTTAGCTTGATCTTTATGATTTTACTTGAACGGGTAGGAGGCTGGGGTTGCTTTTATTAAAAAAATATACCCAGGAGAATTGAAGAATAAGTGAATATTTCAACTTTTTGCTTCACTAGAGCACTTATCCCCATTTTTAAAGTTAAGAGTGTTCTCCAACTCAGTAACATAACACATTGCATATGTAGGCTGTTGAATATCATATTTGCCAACAGCCATCACGCTATTGACATCTAACCACTAATTTAAAGTCTGAGGGATATTTTGGCTGTAAGAGCTGCTATGTTCAATCTTACTTTGTTTCAGAACTGAAAAGGGAATTGGTTCTTGAAAGTAACCCAAAATGGGAAGCTTTGAGAGAAGTACTGAAAGAGATTGAAAATGAGAATAAGAACAGTGACAACCTTGGTGGTCCAGGTGAGAGAATAGTAAATGATGAAAGTTTTCACGGTATGGCTGGTTTGCACTTCTGCTTGTCTTTGGAGAGAGGGAACCTAACTCTTTACTGTAGTTTTATCAAAGAGCTAGTTTAAATTTAATAATTTGTGTTGGTTACTATGCAATACAGTTTAGGAAAGAGAATTTTTATTATTCTGAGAAATTTTTTTAAGTTACATTTCAATATTAGACTGATCCCTTAGTTCCAAGCCCAATAAAACTGATGTGGAAATTTATAATAATCAAGGTACCATTCACTCATTTCTTAAGTTCAAGTTCAAAAAAAGTGCCCTTTCTAACTCACACATTCTTCTCCTGTACCTGAAAATTTGCCTCTCCAGGAGATGCATATAAATGGGGTAGAGATTAGAAGGCAGGGTAGAGAGTCTAACTGCTTTGCTGCCTTTCCTATTTTAGGGCTGTTCAGCCCCTTAAATTTCAGCAAGTTTTATTTTAGGAAATAGTAAGGGTAAAAAAGTGCTCTTTTCTCCCACCCACAGTGTTCTGACTGCATAAGAACTGGCTCTCTCACCTAGTGCTGTAGGAGTTTATCTGAGTCAGCTTGTGGGGAATTGTTATTCAAGACCACAAATGTCAATAATACTGTGTGAAATATGTATTTTTTGACTTTCTATCACAGCTGACAAAGGCTGAAAATTAGACTGGTCTAAATTAAGTTCTCTCTTATTCCACGTCTTAAAAAGAAGCAGTTGTGAGTATGTTTCAATACACACTATGTTTCAGATGGCCAGAAGGAAAACCTCACAAATTTAGGCATTGTGAGAATAAGGAATGCTGAACTTCCATTAATCTCCTCTAATCTTTTTTGGTACAAAATGCCCATGCACTTTATATTTCTCTCAAAGTCCAGAGCAACTGTGACGACCAAATACAAAAGTCTTTGGCAGGCATTACTTCCAGGATCAGTAAAACCAATTTGCTCAGGAGATGCTTTGTAGGTGTTAAAGGAGCACAGCATTACAGCCTGTAAACATGATTTTGTCTCTTGACTGCAGGGCAAGTGCTCATTTGTGCCAGCGATGACCGAGCCTGTGCCCAGCTCAGGGAGTTTATTATTGCTGGGGCAGAAGCTTTTTTAACAAGGCTGTATAACAAAACCTTTGGAAAGGATGAGAAAGCTGGAGAAGTATGGATTACAGACAGAAAAGCCATCAAGTCCAAAGGAAATGCCAAACCAGACCCAGGGCCTCAAACCAAAAAAGGCAAACTTGCAGCTTCTTCAAAACAAAAGAAACACAAGAAGCAACAAGACCGGACTATAATCCAAATGATAGGGAAAACCGAGGAGGAAAAGAGAGAGCAGTTAGAGGTGGAAGAGAACAAAGAATTAAGCAGTAGCCAAGAAAGCAGCGGTGAAGAGGCCGTTCCTGAAGACTTTGATGTGAACCTGCCCTCCGATTGTTACTATGGGATTTTCAAGGACCCGCTGACCATCATCCACCCGCTGCAGAGCTGTGGGGATCCCTACGCCCTGACCCGCGTCCTGCACGAGGTGGAGCCCAGATATGTGGTGTTATACGATGCAGAGCTCACCTTTGTCCGGCAGCTGGAGATCTACAAGGCCAGCAGGCCTGGGAAGCCTCTGAGGCAAGTTCACTTGGTAATTCTAGTCTTAAAAACTAAGAAGTGCACTGTGAGCAGTCAAGGCAGAACGTGCAGCTGTTCATTTTCTTTAGCTACACTTTAATTCCTGTTTAGTCCTCTTCCTAATTTTAAACAAAAGCAAAATGTCTGGAGTAACCAAAAGATAATTTTTACTTTCCAGAGGGTATTTAGTCCCTTAGGGCAGAAACATACCTGTTAAAAACCCCAAAGTTCATTCCATCTTCTTCGAGACCTCTGCTTCGATGATCTTAGGGGCAGTAGATCATTTTGAGGTGGTGTAGTCTCATTTTAAACCATTTCTGTGGGTATGATTTTTACACAATAAGATTTAATTCATGTTCACATTTCCTGATGTTGGCAATGCTGAAGACCAGTAATTCAGAAACTGTAACAGAAAAACAAGTATAGGAAAACACAATAAAGAAAATGAGAAGTATTTGCAGTTATACTTTGTTCTAGCTGACAGAAGGATCACCACAATGTATATAGATATTCGATACACCTGTAAATTGCCAAACTCACTTTTATGAATAAATTTCACAAACTAATTAAAAATATAGAAAACTTTTGACTGACTTGTCAGGCTACTAGTCTTAAATATTGGTTGTGGGTGTTTTTAAGTTAATATGAAGTTCTGTAAGGTGTTTTTTTTTTCTCTTTCATACCTACAGAGTTTATTTTCTCATATATGGGGGCTCCACAGAAGAGCAGCGTTATCTCACAGCTCTGAGGAAAGAGAAGGAGGCCTTTGAAAAACTCATTCGGTAACACAGTTAGTTTAACCACCTTTATTATTAGTGTTCCATGTAATTCCCTTATATGCTTACACTTCAAATAGAGTGCAGTTCTTAACTGTGTGAAGGCTTTAAATAAACTTTTAATTCAATTGTTTTTCAGGTGTTAAGAGAACTTTCCCACTGAGAATCAACAAAAAGTCAAACCCCATTTTATTTATTAATTTTAGCGGGATTTCATATTAAACTTCTAAGGCTGAACAGCATCACTTGGATTTTCCCCTAATTGTCCCTGTGAATTTCATTTTTGTAACTGTCTTTTTGTCTGCAAGTAGCATTTCTTGTAAGATAATTCTTAAGGCTTTTATAACCTAAGTCAGTTGGGGAAACAAAATAATTATTTCCTTAGACTGTATAAGACAGTGTTTTTACTGACAGTATCTTCTCATCAGGTTATAGTGCTGTTACTAGTTATTAGTTCCTTTGTTTATTATGCTCTGAGAAATTCTAGAAATAAAAAAGTAATCAGATGCTAAAAAGTGCTGATAATTGAAACAGAAATACAGCATCTAGCCCAACAGTGTGGCAAACCTGGTAAACTGCAGTTCTGATCAGGTCTGCAGTTAGGATTAGACTTTATATATTTTACATCTGGATGAAGGGTGTTAAACTATTTGGGTGTATTTTTCTCATATATCTGCAGTTTTTAGCGTGTGTTTGTTTGTGGTTCCTTAGAGAGAAGGCCAGCATGGTTGTTCCTGAAGAGAGAGAAGGAAGAGATGAAACAAACTTGGACCTGCTCCGAGACGCCAAAGCCCCCGGTGTGGCTGCCGACACACGCAAAGCAGGTGAGCGGGGCCTGAGCTCAGGCTGAGCTCTGAGCTTCTGGAAAGCCCCGTCACTGCTGCCCTGGAAATGCCTCCAGGGACCCAGCCCCAGGGTCAGAGACACCTACACTGGCTCTGCAGTCTGCATGGTAAAGAAACAGCTTTTCCCAGTGACGGAGAATTGTGGTTTTCTCTGACAATACAGACTAAAGAAGGGTTTTACCATGGAGACAGAGACAATTGGATAGTTTCTGGGCAGCTTGTTCGTTATAAAACTCTCTAGTGCTGCTGGTAAAGCAAGAAATTAAAACATAGAAACTGAAGTCTGCAGATAGTCAAAGGAAGTCAAGTTGTCCTTGAGGTAGTAAATGCTGGGGACATCTTTTCACCTTGGCAGAACAGATTGCCTGGGTAAACGACTGC